ACATAATCTTGGTCATTTTGTAATGAAGTTGAGTGGTATTAATTCTCATAGATCTTCCAATAAGATTATTAGTGCATTGCTCTTAAGTCTCAAAGTTCAGCAAAGCACCATCAGATATGTAAGGAAAGCTTCCAATATAAAATACTTCCATAGGTCAAGTAAACCCAAAATTAAAAAAAAAAATCAAAGGAAATAAATTATTGCAGAGAGTACAGAAAACTTACAATCCACTGAAATCTCAGAGATTTTCATCTCATTTTAAATGAGATAAGGGAAGATAGTAATTATAGGAAACAAAATAATGCTTGAGGAAGGGAACAACCAGAACAAATTCCCAAAATAAATATATGTTATAGAAATTTTAAAGGTCTTAGGCAAAATTAGAGAAATCTGTTAGAAATCATACAGTTTTTGAGAAGAGAAGTAGAAAAGATAAAAGAATTAAACAGTCTCACAAAAAGGAGCACTAGCTAAGACTTACAAAAAGAAAATAGAAAAAAAATAGATAAACTATATGGGCATAGATTTTGGACAGCACTTTAGCAGACAGTGTGATTTTTGCATATAGTTTTAGTCTACACCTATGTATGCTTAGTTAATGTTTGAAGAAACCTGATAATGAAGGCTCATTACATGAATTTTTTAATACCTGTTGCAAATAAGTACCTGCTACGTGAGAAACTTCTGTGTAGGTTGTAAGGTCCTATAGCCCCCATTAACTGTGAGACAATGAAAATGTGCCATACAAACTAACAACTATCACCTGCCAAATTTGCTTCTGTTAGTTTGCAATAGCAAGCAAACTAGATTGAAGTAGGAGGATATGGAATTCCAGGGGAACTATCTTCAGGAAACATAGTAAACCTAATATGCTTGATTTTATTTATCAATACTTACAATATTCTAAGTGCTTTAAAAATATGAACTCATTTAATCTTTACAACAACTCTATGAGGTGGGCATTATTGCTGCTATTATCATTATTATCTTTACATTACAAATATGGAGACAAAGGCAAAGATAATTGTTCAAGGTCTCACAGCTAGTAAATGGCAGAGACTTATTCAAACTCAATCAGACGTGGCTATTAACAACACACTATGTTACCCCTATGTGCCGAGTGCCAAAATTTTTTCAAAACGATTTCATAATTTTGTTTGAGATTTTGGAAAATATTAGTGAAGTATTTGTGTATGTGTATACAACATACTATACATACTTTTATATAATAGCTAATAAATATGGAACATAAAAATTAAAATATTTTTCATTGTTTTACTAGAAGTAAACAATATTTATATTGCATAACAATGTATGCAGTAAATATTTAATCAAAGTTTGTGATATGCGTACATTCAGACTTACTGAAGAGAATCATGGCTGCAGGTGGGGTACGGAGCGACACTAGACGAGCTTGATAAATCTAATGAAAATAATAGATGCTTAAAATTTATACATCAAAGAAAAAAGAATACAAGAACATTAAATACTAAAAGTTACCTAAATCGGGTTGAAAATATGACTTTCTGAGAATGAGACATACATTGATGTGGGTGTGGTGGGGATTTCTGTCTTCATCATCAGTTCTGTAGCAGCTTTGACCTTTTAAATGTATCAATACTATATTTTTAAGGTATCATTCTGACAAAATTTTAAAAGAATGTGTATTAATATGTGCATATGTGAGCTATATATTTTAGGGGATTCCTCTTATGCTTCTTAATTATTTCACAGCATTTAGTCAAACAAAGCTGAAATTGATATATTAAGAGAAAATTATTTCTCTTAGCCAAAAACCAGCCAATTGTACATAAACAAAGCTTCTGGGGACTCTAAGTATTCCAGCCATCATTAAAATCTATGTGTCACACACACATGCCACAAATTTGAAATCCTACTAGAGTTTTATGTCTTTTATACTACTCTCATGCTTTGCTTTCTCTTTTAAAATGTCAGTGATCTTCAGCAATCATAATGAGATAAATATCCTCCCTTTTAATAGGAAGAAGTGGAAGCAAGATAAGCAAAAGGGAAACATTATTAGGTGCTAAAAGGAAAAAAAGAGGTTAAAATAACAGCAATAACAACACAACAACACTTGAACTCTTTCTCAAATTTCTAGAAGGACTTTACCCAGGTAGTCCAAGATGCCCACTATCACACTAACTGCCAGGAGAAATTTCAGGGCCTCATTTTTTTTTGATATGTAAAAGGAGAGAGTTTGAAATAAAAAATTTATTAGTTCTCCCTGAGCTTTAACTTGTTTCACTATGAAATTTTCCTACACTTTTTTGACATGTTCACATTCATTTTCTCATTTGATTTTCAAACAACTCTTCCTAGTAGTCAGCAGGGCAGGTGCATTATGGGTAGACCCAGGGTCATGATGTTTAAATAACCTGTACGAGCTCAAACAACTAGTAAGTTGCAGAAGGAAAATTCTAAGCCAGATAATTTTTACCGTATATCTAAAGGTCTCCACTATGTTTCCATTTACATAATTATGCTGATCTCATGGCTATTAAACTCATGGCTATTAAAGTGATATTTATGCCTCATTTAGTAAATATTTATTGAATATCTACTATGTCCAAAGCCCTATGGACTTCTAAAACATCAATCTGTCACAAGAGAAACAATGGCAAAGCCACATCATTACATCTTAGGCCTCCTTTCTTCATTTTTAGCAGAGTCAGGTAAAACTTGGAAAAGCCTTTCATTAATTCTTGAAAGGCACAACTCAGGCATTCTCACCACCATCTTAATTTAATTTACTGAACTTTCATCAAAGCCATTCCAATGAAGAGTTTATCTCCATTCTTCAGGAATCAGTAATCAAAGAAAGGTAGATTAGACTAATAAGAAAAATCAAGATATAGATAGAGAATATACTAAGAGTGGAAAACATTCTGTGTTTTTAGTCTGGAAACAATGATACCAAACCTGGGAAACACTGTAGATTGTCAGTTTTATTTCTATTATGTCTCCCAGGATCCTTTAAATGTGATTGTTATCATATGCTCACAAAATGAAAAGGAAGAGTTAAGAATGATTTCCAGATTTCTGGTTTAGGAGACTGGATAAGATGATAATACCACTCAAAAGCATAAAATAACAAAAGCACTTAGAAGTAAAGGGAGATAGGAAATTTTTATTTTAGGTATATGCCTTTGAGAAATACAACAGGAGATTTCTAGAAAGCAGCTGTATACCCGCATTGGAGGGCAGGCCTTTCAGAGAGTAGGTTGGAGAGAGGTACTCAGGAGTTGTCATAATAGAAGGAACAGTGAAAACCAGGGAATCACACAGGAAATGTGTACATAGCAAGAAGAGCACAGAACAGAGGACAGAATCTCAAAGAGCTGTAAATGCTGGAAACACTTTCAAAAAATGTTGGAGGAAACGGAGAGCTTCAGGATAGAGACAGAGAGGGGTCAACAGAAAAGAGAAGGAAAAACTAAGAGAATGATGTCAGAGAAACATTTAATAAAGGGGAGGGTCAGCGTTCTAAAAGTCACAACTCAAGTAAGCTAAACACTAACAGACTTCAAAAGTTAGTAAATATAAATGTTATTACTGATTTTTGTGAGGGCAATGAGAAGCCGTATTTTTGTGTGTCAGTCATGGGTGGAATGGTGAGCAGAAAATGAAGAGTGAAGGCAGCCAGCCAGTGTACTACTTTAATTTTCCTACAGTGGACATGGATCAACATATGTGTAATAAAATTAAAAAATGACTGAAATAAGTTTCCCTAAAAAAGGGCATAAAGAAATAAGAGAGTAACTGAAGGGGAGCTGTGCAGATTTGAAGATCATCTGTTATTTATATCCTGAGGGTTTAGAAACGTATAAAAGAGAAAAGAAAAAAATGCAGTAGAGAGGTATTGTGAGAAGGCAAATATTTGACTTTTTCCTTTAAATATGATATGAGTGTTCCTGTAAAACTATGAAGAGATCATGTGTCACTCAGGACTTAGTCTCTAAAAGCTCTTAAACTTGAATGCATTTCCCAGTTGAGAGAGAAAGGCTAATGCTAAATAAAGAAAGGCTTACATTTCCATAATCATTTACCACAGACTAGGGGCAGCCCTGTGAGGTAGTCCATTACTATTTTACAGATGACAAACTGAGCTCCAATTGACCTGGCGATGGTTAGGAGGGAAGGGGGAGGCGGTTCAAAAATAGTGCTTTGAACCTAATGCTCTTTCCCCCTCCCTGTGCTCTTTCATAATACTTATGTGAACTGTGTTGAATGAGTCATATAAATTAAGCTTCCTGATTCCAGAATAAGATAGATTTTTAAAAAAGAAAATTACAATCAATAAATAAAATAATGTCTGAAAATGAGATTTTTAAAATTTGTGTTTTTTTTCCTCAAAAGGCATTATAATTTTTTCCTCAAAGATAAAAACTGGAAAACATTATCTTAGACATATGTGTTAAAGAAAAAAATAACAGTGAAACAGAATGTGTTGTATAAAGTAAATGTAAAATGTCTGTTACGGTGAGCAAAAACTCATTAAAAAGTATTTGGAACGACTCTCTTAGTAGGAATTAGAGACACAAAAATTTATTTCTATAAAACAGAGCCTAACACCACTTTTAATGCCAACATTAGCTATAACTTTCCAGGTTTCCTTTTTTAATTTTTACATACATTTTTATCTCTTTTTCCCATAAGCAAAGTATATCTAAATAAAATTCCAGAATCTATTTTACATAATAAACAAAGAAACAAACACAAACAGTTCCATATGAGGAGAGAACATTGGTCTTATTTTTTTTGTATTCAATTTTTAAAGATCTTCCGTAAAACAGTGTTTTAAAATGTCTTCTGTTACACTTGAAACTAAAGCTGCCTTAAGTTGCCTGCTGATAAATCAGGTCCTAATGTTAGTACACTAGAACATCATTGGAATTGTGAATTCAGGGTGAAAACTGTCCTCAATTATTATCATAAATTCTTGAGATTAAAGTTAGAATTTCCGGTGCTGGGCTGTCTAGATACTGAGTGCTGTGGTTGTTGGAGGGGTTAAAGTTAGAGCTACTGATGCATATATATTGGGGAGGATTCATAAAAACACGACAGTGGAGCCTGGGTCAATCCATTACTGTGAAGAGCACTGACCAATAGAAAGGGGAGAAGAAGATCCAAGACGATTGAGGTAAGCGGGCTTCTGAAGCTCTGTCAAAGTGGAAACAATAGATCAAAAGGTGTTCATGGTGACCAGTCAGAGTCAGTTTGATTTTTTTCTTATAGGAAGCCTGACAGCATGAAATAAAAATAAATTAGTCAACGTTTTGTTTTTCTTTGTGTTTTTTTCCTTAACTGAGATTTAGCAAACTTCAGACCCAGACACAGGACTCAACGGTATATTTCCTGGACAGCAAGGTAAACTATTTTGCACTTTTTAAAACTCTTCAAGTTAAGAATTCAAAGTTCTTATTCATCAGAAGCAGCATTACAGCTTCAACAACTAAAACAAATCTCTATTCTGAAAAAAATAAAAAAAAAAATCCTTTAATGTTTCTGTTGGAAGATGACCAGGGCAGCATTCTGCAATTGTAAGAAATCTGACAGCTTGCGGAAGCAGCTCTGCACTTGTCCTTTCCCTCAATTTAGTAGCAAAATTGAAAAATCAGCATTTCATAAATGATGCTATCTTCTCCTAAAGAATCAGTAAAATTTATTCGGTCCTTATTATCAAGCAGTTGAACTAAATGTATATTGGTTAAATGCTACTGATATATATATGTTCATATATATTATATATATTCATATATTATATATATATTCTTGTTAAAGTAGTTTATTGTACCTATACGCTTGTTTATAATCATTGGTAAGGGTTTATGTTTTTCAGATGTATAAGTCAGTGTTAAGTTATTCTTTGTTAGCGGTCATTCAGAAAACAGGGAACTCTACCTGTATCCTAAACATGTTCTTTGTTTTGTTTTGTTTCTTACCAACCATAGAAATGCCATAATTAAATACATTTACCTAATTGTGATATATAGAGATTTCACCATTCAAATTTCTCAGCTGAACAACTTGATTCTGTTGTTATATTAGAAGTCTCTCCCCACATCCCAAAATAAAACTTACCTGAGAAGTTGAGCAACAGAGTAAAAGATTAATCACACACTTTTCTTCAGATCTTAAAACCTTCCTCACAACAAACTGCTAAAACGTTCTTTGATTGCTTTCTTTGGTTCAAGGCCCAAAGAGCCTGGGAAATCTCATCCAGATGTTCTGCTCATTTAGGAATAAAAGTAAAAGCATATGCCTACTTCCTAGGAACAAGAGACTCTCAATTCGAATTATTTAAAGTCACTTTTTTGTACTCTTATATTCAATTCCAGATTTCAGTTAACGTCCTTGCATTAAATAGCTTGAAATGGAAAAGCACTTAGAGCTCTTAAAATTTGCTTTTCATTTCTCAGTTTTCATTGTGTTTGGGTTAAAACCAGAAAGCTACAGTTGGTGAGTCAGTTTCAGCATTTGCAAAGTGCTTGAAAATAGTGCCTAATAAATAAATGGGTATGAATTAATATCTCTCTATAAAATGTTGATATGTTCTTCTCCCCTCAAAGAAGCAATGTTTACTGATCATTTTGGTACATACAATTCTCTAAAGATCAAGACCTTCAACACCTAACAGTTGTATTCTTTATTATAGGTACTACAATGGCAACCACAGTCTGTTTCATCATCTGGGTGGTATTCATTACAGGTTCAGTATGGACTCGAACTGTGAGACAGGTCTATGAGGTACAAGGTCCAGATGATTGGACTGAGCAAGACTTCGAGTGTCCCAGGGAATGTTTCTGTCCCCCCAGTTTCCCTACGGCTTTATATTGTGAAAATCGTGGTCTCAAAGAAATCCCTGCTATTCCTTCAAGGATCTGGTATCTTTATCTTGAAAACAACCTGATAGAAACCATTCCTGAGAAACCATTCGAGAATGCCACCCAGCTGAGATGGATCAATCTAAACAAGAACAAAATAACCAACTATGGAATTGAAAAAGGAGCCCTGAGCCAGCTAAAGAAGCTGCTTTTCTTATTTCTGGAAGATAATGAGCTAGAGGAGGTACCTTCTCCATTGCCAAGAAGTTTAGAACAGTTACAATTAGCCAGAAATAAGGTGTCCAGAATTCCTCAAGGGACCTTCAGCAACCTGGAGAACCTGACCCTTCTTGACCTACAACACAATAAGCTATTAGACAATGCCTTTCAAAGAGACACCTTTAAGGGACTTAAGAACCTCATACAGTTAAATATGGCCAAGAACGCCCTGAGGAACATGCCACCAAGGTTACCAGCCAACACAATGCAACTGTTTTTAGACAACAATTCCATTGAGGGAATACCAGAAAATTATTTTAATGTGATTCCTAAAGTGGCCTTCCTGAGACTAAACCACAACAAACTATCAGATGCAGGTCTTCCTTCAAGTGGTTTTGATGTATCGTCCATTCTAGATCTTCAACTGTCTCACAATCGACTCACGAAAGTCCCCCGAATCAATGCTCATCTGCAGCACCTTCACCTTGATCATAACAAAATCCAGAGTAAGTAACCATCGGGGTGAGTTTTTGACTAAAATGTTTAAAGTCATTAAATTCATTCTCTATCTTCTTTAAAAATAACAAATCTGTTGTCCCCCTTCATATAATGTGTACTTAGATTTTAAAGTGTATTTTCAAATTCTGAAGTGTATTAAGCTAGGGACCCATGGACGAAGGCAATGGGGAGGAGGCTTGAATGTGCGAGGAGGGGTGGACAGGGCAGAGGAGAGCAATGGGGGGAAAATGGGGACAACTGTAACTGAACAACAATTTAAAATATGACATCAATTTAAAGAAAGGCGTATTAAGTTTTATCTGTTTACAGATAGTTTCAGTGAATCAAAAGTTTCAATCATCAAATTGCAGATTTAAAACTGGGCTTTCGTAACCCAGAGCGGGTAATTATCTAATGGGGAAGCTAAAAATCTCTTCTTCTTTAACTCCAATAAGATTCTGAGTTTTCTGCCTCACTGAGTAAATTTATTAAAGAAAATGTCCCAGACACCAAATTTCACAAATAGTAACAGGAAAGACATGATTGAGAGGTTATCAGAAAGTTACCTTTGTCCTAAAAGCTGATCCCTGAGACCACAGTCATTAGAGTCTCTGCTTCAGAGCAGTGGGTGTCTCAAACCTCAGTGTGCACAGGCCCTGAGGCTCCACCTCAGAGCTTCTGACTGAGTAGGTCTAGATGGGGCCAGAGACTTTCCATTTCTAACAAGTTTCCAGGTGATGGCTGAGACTTAGGGGACCTTGCTTTGGGGACCGATGTTGCCCTGTTAAGGCTTTGCTCAACCTAAATGGAAACAAATGTCCCTGGAAGTTGGGAACTGCTTAGGACTAGTGGTGATCAACAAGGTAGTATACCCTCTCCTTTCCTGAATATCGCTTTTAGTAAGAGAGAGCTAAATGAGTGCCGAATGCCTTGGAATCAGAGATGCCATCAAGAAAAGGTGTAGTTATAGAAAGAAGAGCCTGGTGACAGTAAAGGCAAACTGGGTACCTTGACAAGTATGTGTGAGATCAGGCTGACCATGGTGTAGAAGTGGACAATGTCTTGGTGCAGCCACGGGGGTACTGGAATCAGCTGGCACCTATCCATGCATCCTCAGTCCCAGCACAAGCCCTTTAAGAAGGTCATCTTGAGGAGACTTCCCTGAACAGCCTTAGCAAATACACGCCACAAGTGAGAATAGGTCAGAGGGTTTGTAGGAAAGAACACAGATAATTGTCAGAAGGTTTTGCTGCCTGGTTATTACAAACTAAGAATTTCTTTAAGTATGTAATTACATAAGCATCCCATTTATAAGACTAGAGCATTTTCTAACAGGCACTGCTCAGTTATTCAAGATCTGTTTTGTTTTTCTAACAGCATACTTGAGCATAAAACCCAGGAAGTAATAAGCAGGTTGCTGCCAGGACAATAATTTTTCCATGGTGAGGAATCCTGTAGTCAAAAGCAAATGTTGCAACAAAGAATGTTATTAGAATCTGTTTCGCTGAACCAGATAGTACAACAACCAATATTGATCTAAATGCATGCAATTTTTTTCTGTTGAAACTTCTGTACTTCTACAGGTGCATTCCTTATTTGACAGCAAAAGCCTCCTAAGTATCTGAGGCAGGAAGTTAATTTAAAGTGATTCCATATAAATCCCTGTTTGTGAATTAGGGATTCCCCTAAGAATTTAAGATTGAAGGTGTTTAGAAATGAGATAGCAAAATTCGAAACGCAGATGGGCACATACATAATTACACAAAGTTACATAAAGAAGAATAAGACTCCGTAGTTCTTTCACTCATATTTTAAAGAGTTTTTACAAAGTGTTTTCTCATGTATTTCTGTTTTTCAATTGGTCTCATACCTTAGTGGGCATCAGAACCTCCTGGAGGACTGTGTGTCTGATTCAGTAGGTCTGAGGTGCGGCCTAATCTCCTGGGTCCCAGGTAAATTACTGCTATTGCTGCTCCAGGGACCTCACTTGAGAGCCACAAATTATCCTTCTAAGAGCCTTGTGTTCTATTATTAGAGAATTCTGAAGAAAGAGAAACTGAGGCTTAACCAGGGGGAAGATATTCACCTGCTAAGAACAAAAAAGGGTAAATATAATAGCAGGAAAATGAGCCCAGGGCTTCTCATTTTAAATATTTTCCCCACACATATATAACAACAGCACATTTTGCTTCAATTCTGAGAATACAAAACTTTAGAAAAATTTCTATCAATAATTTTAACAACAATTACATCAACAAAGAGAAATTGATTTATTTGCTTCTTAATGTAGCTATAAAGCATGGTTATTTTTACTTTCCAAGAAAATGAATTTAAAATAAGTATGTTCATGGCTATTATTGGCTCACCATTATAGCACACTGTGTTATGTTAATTGTTAAAGTTCTTAGTTCTTCTGGCTCCAATCAATCCACTCTAGTTGTTAATAAAGTAATTTCCAAGAAATATACCTTTTATATGAAGAGTTCTCAGAATTTACAAGGCAGTAAACTTGTCTTATGCAAACTGATGACAACACACTTACTTCTTCCAGACACCTTAAGGGACTTTAAATTTGGCAAAATGTTATGTGTTCAAATAAGTGACTTCTAGGTGGCCCCTCAGAAATACCATAATTAATTTATAAAAACATAATTAAATTTAGAACACAAGTTTCTTATGTTCCATTTATTCACACAAGCTTTGATTAATGGGCATGGGGGTGAGGAGATAGCACATAGAAGGGACACAATCTCTCCCAGAGACAAGGGACCCTGTGTGGTAGGAAGAGACTAGGCTGGGACCCAGCACAGACCTCACATGCTGAAATACATTGTGTACATTACCTTACCTGAACCAGTAGTCTGAACCACTAGTCCCACAATTCGCAGGTGAGGAGCATAATAATGCCTGATAAAGGCTGTGTGATAATAAAAAAAGAAAAGAACCTTAATACCCACAAAACTGTTTTATAAATATCAATCATTTCTAAGCTAGTTCATTTCACAAAATGGCATAACACCCTAGCAAAAACAACCTCACTCTAAACACGAAATCTTTCAGGACCATATACGTACCTATGCACAGACAGAACACAAAGGGGAACCATTGTCTGAGTTAGGTGTGTCTCATCTTCTAAGAAAGAATTCTTGCTCCAAGTAGTTTCAGAATGGGATTTAAGGCAGTACACATGGATTCATGGCTGAGATCAGCTATTACACTTCTCTGAATTTTGCTAGTTTTATAGGCCTTCTCTCCTGAATGCTCCTAAATCTCAGTATGGTCATTAATACCAAGGGCTCTGATCCAAGGCAGGTGTACAATTCCTCACATCCTAACCATATGAAAAGGCTGATGGATTATTTCCTGGCTTGAATTCTGTGTAATTGAATTTTTGGCAAATATTTCCTTTCCAATTAAACACATTAATGATAAAAATTCAAGTTACTTTTATGTTTTACATATATACATACTTATGTTAATTGTACTTTTAACTGGTTATACGCTATTAATATGAAATTTTGCATTTTAAGGTTATTTTCAAGCACTTTCTCTAATAGACTGATTTTTCACCTACACATCCATCCATCCATCCATCCACTTATGCATCTACCCATTCTTTCCATACCAACCTTGAAGTGTTGTGTCTAGCAAATACCCTAAATCTTACTTGTCTCAGCCTATAGGAGCTAAGCATGTCTCATCTCACCTTGTTTCCATCAAAACTTTTAACAATGTGGCCTTTCTAGTGCTCTGTACTTAGTAAAGCAAAATATGGAAAATGACTATGCATATGTTGCTTTTTTTCAGATATACTTTTATGAAATGGACATGTACAACCCACAACTTACACAAAACTGGTTTGCATCCCTGCCACTTTCTTTATTTTCAGTCAAACCGAATTTATTTTTTTGAAATTTTTTTATTGTTCACATACATTTGTTTCCATTTTCTCTCCACCACTTTTCCCTGCCCCACCCACCCCCACCTCCCACGCTCAATCCTTCCCCACCTTGGCTTTGTCCATGGGTCCTTTATACATGTTCCTTAACTTGTATAGATCATATACTTTAATAGATCATAAGACTGACCCTCAATAAAACAGGTGTAAGTGTCTTGGTCTTCCCTCCCCTGGCATTTTGTGTTTCAGTTCATTCATTCTTGCTCTCTTTGTCTCCCTAGATGTGAATGTTTCTGTAATATGTCCTACCCCTGTCGCGCTTCCTGCAGACCAAGATTCCTTCATTTATGGACCTCACCTGAGCTACCTTCGTCTGGACGGAAATGAAATCAAATTACCAATCCCAATGGATTTAATGACTTGCTTCAGGCTCCTTCAGACTCTCATTATTTAAACACATTTTCAACAATCTAAAATTGGTTTAATTAATAAGCTAATATTTCTGACATGAAATTTGGTTAACATTTATAAGTTTAAAACAAAAATCACATTTCCAGTTGCTCTTGGCCACCATTTTCATCTGTGCAGTTAAGCTTTTCTAATCAAAGGTTTCACCAATGATATGTAGAATAGCCTACTTTTTAAAGAAATAAAACAGACACAGAGTTAAGTAGTTTATCAACTCAAAGATAATTCTTTTTTTGTCTCTTTCACCACTTATTAATACCAAAAAATACAATTACATTCTTGTGGCATAGAAAGTACATATCTGCTTGTATATGTTCAAAACTGCTTATGCAAATACTGTATTTACAGTTTAAATATAGTAACCTAACAGGAGGTAGGACGATCTGAAGAAAATTTAAAGAAGAGATCTTTGTCATAAATATAAAGAAATAATTAAATTCAGATAGCTAAGTAGCTTTTGTAAGTAAAAGTTTAGTATTTAGCTTAAGAATGAATATGAAATACATCAAATACTTCATAATGAATTTTAGCCTTTAAATACCAAAAAGCAGAACAATAGCCATTTTTAGTTTACTATTTTCTGTAGCAACTGTTCTTAGATATAGTACAATGTACTCCAGCAATTAGACTCCTACATTTTTTATGTTTATCATAACACATTTCTGACAGAATCTTAGTATTTTAACATTTGAAATTCATTTGAATTGCAGTGTCCAGCTCATGTATTTGTTGGGTATTTTTTGGATTTTTTTAAATAAAAAAAGTGAATCCTTTCTAACAAACAGAAGTTAAAATACTTATTTCAGGGACATTACCCAAATGTTTTATTAGAAATACAATTTAATAGAAAATGTTACAGTAACAATCATTTCCATTTTTCTAGCATGGATATATTTTCCTACTTTATATCTCCCATTCTTCTAGTGAACATGAGAAGAAATTCATGCTCTCTACAGCTGTTTCTCATGAATTAAAAAAAATTAACCCAGGATTTTGTTAAGTAACAAAGTATAGTTTACTTTAGACTTCTGATTTTGTAAGACATATGCTATAAACAATAAATATTCCGTAGATACTAATGTGTGCCTTTATATATTTTTCCAAAACAGTATTCTAAAAAATCCTATAAATTTTGATATATTTCCTTAGAAAAAGGATCATATATACTTGTGACAAGCCAGATTAAAGAAAGTCCAATATATTACTTTACTCCAAAGCTTCTCAGAAACTTTAATATGTTATTCTGTAATGTGAATTCCCAAGAAGAGAATATAATGTGCAGTATTTTCTACTTATTTTTACAACAGAACTTACTTGGGGATGGGAAGGAAGAACTAACTAACAGACTTTGAGCATAGTTTTTAAAATACAAGAAATCAAATTAATCGACATTAAAAAAGAATGTTTCATTAAAAAGACTTCAAAGTCAATTAATAATATTGTATCATATACAATTGTGTTATAAAATATTGGTAATCAGGTATCATTAGGTTGGGGGAAAATAATATGTCAAGAGAAACACAATAACTTCAAATATTTGAAAACTTTCCATGTGAAAAGGGAATAAAGGATATTCCAGGAAGTTTCAAAATGAAGAGTAGAGCATATGGGTCAAATTTAGCATGAGCCATATATTTGCTCTGGCCAGGGAATTTTCTAGTAGTTGTTAAGAGTCACTCAGCAACGAAAGCAACTTTTCTTGAGGCAGAATTATCCACCAATGGAACAAAGCATGAGTGATGAGTCAAGAGAAAGAATATAAAAATGAATCCTGACCTGAACCAAAGTTATGAAATGTTCATCTTAGGCCTTTTCACTTCTCAGACTTCTGTTTCTCCCCTCCTTCCTTCTTCCCTCTCTCTTTCTCTCCCTTTCTTTATTCTTGCCTTTTTTCTTTATTTCAGAAATATATTTTGAGCACCACATATGTACCAGACTATACTACACACAGGAGACATAATAGTGCACACAAATACAGATAAACCCAAAGATGCTTAACCTCGTCAGCCATTAGAGACATGCAGATTATAACCACAGTGAAACATTACTACACACCTGTCAGAATGGCCAAAATGAAATACACAGGAGCACCATCAAGTACAGATCAGGGTGTGGAAGAAACTCTCATCCATTCCTGGTAGGAATGTAAAATGGTTCAGCTACTTTAAAAACCGTTTGGCAATTTCTTCTTAAATTAAACACACAACCACCACGAAACATGGCAATTTCATTCTTGGACATTTGTCCAGAGAAACAAAAATGTATGTTCACACAAAAACTGTGCACAAGTGTTCAGAGAAGCTTTATTTGTAAGCACCAATAACTGGAAACAACTAAAGTGTACTCCTACATGTGACTGGCTGAACACACTGGAACATCCACATGCGGAGAACTACACAGCAGCAAAGAAGAACGACGGTCATGCATGTAAGGCTTCAGTGCAGCTCAAGGAAACTACATTGTGTAGAACAGGCCAATCTCAAAAAGGCACAAGCTATGATTCTACTTAGATAATATTCTTGAAATAAAATCACAGACATACATGGAGGACCAATTCTTGGTTGCTAGGGGTTAAAGGTGGGGTTGGAGGTGGGGACAGAGCAGCTCTGTTTTGATTATAGTGGTCACATTAACCTGCACAAAAGTGAACAGAACACGCTACACATGCACAGATGAGTGCATGTGAAAGTGCAGAAAAAAGACTAAGCTCTGTGAATTGTCTCAATGTCAATCTTTCTTTTATGAGTCCTTAATTTAATTTAAAGTGAAAGCTAAATATATTTCAGGAAACTTGAACAATAGATACTAGCTGCAAGATTGATTGTGAGGCAGGCAGAGTGGAATGGTGGGAAAATTCAGTTGGTATTCTACTAACAAAGGGAGAGGTATCAGCCAAGAGACTCAAGGTGTTTTTCTTTATTGTTTTAACAGCTACATGAAATAGCAAAGCTGGGATATACCATGAATGGATAATATTTTCAGTCTAGCCCTATCTGTCTTATAATTAGTGATAGACACCTGAAGCCAGATTCAGAAAAGAATCATCTTAGGAAAGGTTGTTTTTTTTTTCCATCTTACAATTATAACATCCTGTATTTGCATGGCTGTATATGAAGCTATCTACTGTCAACCTTGTTTATAATAACTGAGAATGGAACAGCCCAAATATGCATCAACAGGGGACAGAACAATGAAATACAGTGTAACATATACCAGAAAAAAAGACAGCCACTGGGTTTTAGAGACTTAATATAAAAAAAATGTAAAATATCTTAATACACTTTTAATATTTATTACATGTTGAAATGGCATTTTTACTCTATTATATTAAATAAACAATAGTATTAATATTATTTCTCTTATGGAAACAACCTAAGTGTTTATCAAGAGGTGAATGGATAAAAAATACATTATATATACACAGTGGATAATTCAGCCTTAAAAAGAAGAAAATCCTGCCATGTGCACAACATGGATGAACTTGGAGGACATTAAGCTGAGCAACACAGGCCAGTCACAGAAAGATGAATACTGTATGAACTCACCTCTCTGAGGCATCTAAATGGGTCAGACTCACAGAAACAGAGTAGACTGGTGGTTACCATGGGCTGGCAGATGACAGTAATGGGGAATTGCTATTAAATGAGTATAAAGTATTAGCATATGATGAGTTTCTAGAGACCTGTTTGCAGCATTGTATCTGTAACAGTCTTGTACTGTTCACCAAAAATTCCTTTATGGGGGTAGATGTTAAGTTCATTGTTCACACAGACAAAAGAAACAGAAACAAACAAAAAAATAACCCAGACTGGCACAGGAAGCTTTCAGAGGTGATGTTTATTACCCCAACTGTGGTAAAATGTATGTATTAAGTATGTGCAGTGTTTTGTACAATTACACTTCAATAAAGCTGTTCAAAAAATAAAAAATAACAATGATTAACAGAAGGACTCTCTTAAAAAATGACAACTAATTAACTATAAAGAAGGTATAAAGAAGGGGGAATAAATGGTGATGGACAGAAACTTAACCAGGGCTGGTGAACACAAAGTAGTGAACAGATGATGTGTTGTAGAATTGTGCGCTTGAAACCTGTGTAATTTTGTTAACTAGTGTGACCCCAATTAATTCAATAAAAAAACAAAAAAGATGAGAAGTATTTAACAACAAAGGGTAGGAAAGAAGAATATCCCAGGCAGGGATTAAAGACTCTGTAGTCCCTAGGAACAGTTTGAAACTAACAGAAGTAATTCAAATCAGAAGGGATTATGTTAATTGAGAGGTAATACCGTGTAGTGGTAAAGAACATTAATACTGAAACTAAACTGCTGAGTTCAAAGCCCAGCTTCACTGTTGTGTGGTCCTGGGCTGAATTTTTAAATTTTCCATGCTTTGGTTTCTACTTATCTGTATAATGGAAACAAACAGTATCACCTATATAATAGTCAGAATTTTAAAATTTAGAATATGTAAAGGGCCCTAAACACTGCCTGACACATAGTAATTGCTAAATAAGTGTTTATTATTATTACTGTGTATATGTTTGCAATATAGATATAGATATCTAGGTACAGATATCAGTATGTATTAGATATATACCATATAGATGCATTTACACAGAAGTTTCTTATTGGCACAGTGAGGGAAATCTTTTGGAGGAGAATATATGTGAGGAGATCAATTAGGTTTTAGTCTTACAAATTAGAGAAAGCTAAGGTAGTTTGGAGTATAAGGACACTGATGACAGTGGTAGAAATAGAGAAAAGTGGACCAATAAAGAATTAAAAAGTAAAACTATCAGGATTTGGTGGTTGGAAAGATGAGAGTGAAAGCAAGGAGGATGTTAAGGTTTCTGCTTGCATAATTGAATAAATGGCAGTATATTTTCTAAAAGAAACACTCTTAAAAAAGCAGATCATAAGTTTGTTTCTAGGTATAGTTATTTGGAATTGTTTTTGGTTCATTCAATAGGAGATATCATGTAAATTGTTGAATAAAGTCTAAAGTAAAAAGGAGAGGTCTGTATAGATTTATAGAAACAATACTGATAAAAATTTCTAGATTTTGTTAATATTTTTCATAATTTTGCAAGAATTCTGCATTTACATATGTATACGCCTGTGGGTTAAGACTGAGGCATGGATGGGGGTGGACCAGGAGAATGCCAAGGATTAATTCTAACTACTGACCAATAAAGCTATGAGGAGTAGAATGACTATTCTATAAGCATGTTTTTTCAGTATATGCATGAAGTTTACATAAATTATCTAAAATTTACAAATATGTTGCTCTCTTCCTGATATTGTATAGGTTTTGAGAAACTCAAGACATTTTTGAAGTTATGGGATTTTAATAAATGCTCAGTCTCTCATTTTATGGCTGTAACTAAAACACAAA